AATAAAAATATAAAAATAGGAACAATATTAATTCAGGTATAATTCTAAATATTATTCTTAGTATTCATTCTATTTTACATAATTAACATAACAATATTATTTATAGATTAAGAATCATGCACACAGAGACAGTAAAATAAAATATGAACTTGGATTTCCACTTTCACCAGATGTTACATTTGAAGATAGTTTAGCCAATGAGTTAAAAGATAATAATTTAGGCCTATTACTACATGTTGGTAAGGATATCTTTCCTCTTATTTAATGTCTATTTCATATTGTATTGATATCCAAAATTACTTTGATAAATTATCTTCATTCTTCTTGTAGGTTCGGCATATATTAATAAATCTTCATTAGAGACATATTGCTATGATGAAGAACATAAACAATTTAATAATACTTCATCATATGACCTTCGTAGTAAATCTAATTCTATATATGACTTATCCAAACATAATCGACTTGTTGCTTGTGGCTTAGACTGTTTCAACATCACTACAGAATATAAAATAATTTTTCAAAGTCTTTTACATTCATGGACTGATCCAATCCGATTGGCTAAAGAGAAATATAATGTTGAACAATTTTTACATCAAATGATGCCTTGTACATATTCCAGAAAAAGGTAATATCATCTTTATTGTTTTTGGTTTTTATTTTTTAGTTATCAACATCCATTTATATTATATACAATGCAGGTTTTATGATGATTATGAGGAAGAAAGTTACAAGAAAAGTAAACAAGAATGATAGAATGAAAGACATTTTAAATGATTCTAATTTTACAATACTAGAAATATTGAGTTTTTACAAACTAATAGTTCCTTTTTACTGATTAATTTTTTAATAACAAAATTTAAAATTATTCTTGCTTAATGAATATTTGTTTATTATAAAGATATGGATGAATTTGACTTTTATAATCCTATAATATAGTATATATATAACTTAAAGAAATTTACTCTTTGTAATAACAAGTCTAAATAAGAAATTTAGTTTTTATATTAAAAAACATATTGATAATTATTTATTAAGAAGCATTTAATTATATTGAATTTTTCTATTTTGAAATACTAATATTAGTTCAGAAAATCAGTGATTGCTTTTTTGGTATGCCTGCATTAAAATAATACAAAGTAAACAAAAAATTATAAATTATATATATAGGGATAAGTATATATAAAAAATATTAACAAAAGTAATAAATATAATGGTTTTAATAAATATCAAAAAGCAATTGATTTTTTAGAAAAAGGTTATAAATGTGATTGTTCTTTAAGAATTTCCAAGGAAGAATTTGCAGAATTAAGGGAATCTTTTCAAGCACTTTTCAAGCTAAACAAGATATATTTTTAATGGTTCAACTTAAAGCAATAGATAGTAGATCAATAAGTACTAGTATATGCCTTAAAAAGAAAACTAGATCTAATAAAAGAACTTTCTACTATTGGGATCACAATATACTCCTTTGTCAAGAAACTTATCTCAATATGCTAGAAATTGGTAAAACTTATTTTGAAAATATTAGAAATCACCTAATAAGCAATGGTCTGCTATCAAGAATTCATGGTAATATTAAAAGAATGTCTCAATGGAAAACTAAGATAATGATTGATAAAAATGTTGCTGAAGTAGTAAAAAACTTCCTTGAAAATTATGCAGAAGTTCATGGATTACCAAATCCAGAAAAAAATATTAATAGAATAACAATCAATTATATTCTTACTAGCTGAAATGAATTATAAATCTATACACAGAAATTTTCTAGTTAGTCTAGAAGAAGATAGCAAATTGAAATCCTTAAAATATGATACCTTCAAAAAATTATAACATCAATTGACATCAGAAATTCAAATTATAAGTCCTAGAACTGATCTATGTGATACTTGTCAACATTTTAGAAATAGTTTACATTATAATGCTTACCAAGAGGAAGAAGCTAAAGAATTACTCAAAAGATTTAAAGAACATCTGTCTAAGGTAAAATTAGAAAAAAATTATTATAATAATATAATAAAAATATCAAATTAGTAAAAGAACAAAGAAATTAGTTAATCAATATTATTCAAAGGGTAAAACATAGTATTGCAATATTGATGCCACTGCTCATATACTACATTCAGATTAACAAATAATTAAAATCTATTATCTTAGTTCATGTAAAGTTCATTTATTTGGTATTCAAGATGAAGCAGTAAGAAAACAAATCAATTATGTTCTTAATGAAGATGAAATTATAGGAAAAGGACTTAATGGTATACTTAGCATGATTTTTGATAGAATCAAAAAATTAAATAAAGGTGAAAAGCATTTAAAGATTACTTATGATAATGCAGGTGGTCAAAATAAAAATAATGTAACAATTTGGTTAGTAGCTGGCAACTTCACGATATAATTATATCGTGAAGTTGCCGGCTACTTAGATTAGGTTATGAATGTAACTTCATAGTCTACCGGTATCTTTATAATATAATGGTAACTTCATAGTCTACTGGTATCTTCATAATACAATGGTAATTTCATAGTCTACCGGTATCTTCATAATATAATGGTAACTTCATAGTCTGCTGGTCACTTCATAATATAGTGGTAGCTTCATAGTCTGCTGGTGATTTCATAATCTAATTACATGATCTGGTGGCAATTTTCATAACCTAATATCATAATCTGATGGTGACTTCATAACCTACGTATGGGTATCTCCTTTGCATTTATATCATTATTTTAACTGTTTCCTGTATAATATGGTAGTAACTTCATAGTCTAATGGTAGATGTAGTGCTTTAATTTAATGGTGATGTCACGATCTAATGGTGACTGCTTTCTTTTTGTTTCTAATTCGTTTAGATGATAAATTCTATATTGTTGATACTGGCTTTCTACAGCAGTTTAGATATCTGGTTTTATGTTGAAAATGCTGGCCTCCTGCGCCTAATTGGATGCTAGATTCTATGTTGGAGTGCTTTCCCTTTACGTCTATTTGGTTGCCCACCAAAATGCTGAAATATAGTAAAAAAATTCTGAATTATCACGGGATATAAAAAGCATTAATAATATTAACGGATTTTCTCAAGAGCCTAACTCATTGCCTCGATTAGGAAGATACCATATGTCATTATATGTAATAATGAATTTATAAGAAATAAATATGGCACTAGTGTCTTAAGTTAGTATTCAGAACTAGTGACAGAACTAGTGACACGTTTGTTATCTTTCTTGGGATTATTAGGCTTCTGCCAATATTTTTATATTTCTGAAGAAGGATACCCTGAATACACATACCCAGATGCATCCGGATGCCTTTCTTCTTGATGGCTGGTATAAGTATGCCAATTTTGATTGCTGGTTAGGCGATATATATTGATTCTGACCAGGTCAGAATTGTATAGCTAGTTTGCATTAATGAGGGCCTTTCATACCTGAGTATATATCTAGAAAGATGAAGGCTTCTCCCAATATTTATATAATAATTACGGAGTTACCTTCACTTTCAGTTGTATATTTCGTTGCCTTCCTTTTACGTTTTGCTGACGAAGTCTTACGCGGAGGTTATACCATACCCGAGTACATACCATCGAGATGTAGCCTTTATGCTACACCCAGATATATACTAGTAATAGAGTAGTCTTCTTCTATTATTTTATATAAAGATTCTGAAGAAGACTACCCTGGATGACATACCTGAGTATATACTAGTATTAGGGTAGTCTTCTGCCAATATTTTATATAATAATTACACAGAAGACTACCCTAGAGAAAATGTATTTATTTGAGTCTCTGAAGTTGTTCAAGAGGGCCAGTCAACTTTGTATCTCTTTTTGTATACCTCTATATTTTGCGGAGGCTATACATATCTAAGTATATATCTAGAAAAGTGTAGTCTTCTTCTATTATTTTATATAAAGATTCTGAAGAAGACTACACTTTTTCAGATATATCCGTTTGCCTTTTATTTACGATTCGCTTACTAGATTGCTATACATCTCTTTTTTCAAAGAGTGAAAAAAAAATTAATTAAACATTTCAGAAATATATTGTGATATAATAACTTTACCTACTGTCAACATGTATACCTCAATTATTTCCGACCAAACTGATCACACTGGAACTGCCCTAGCCCTCCGCTACGACGGTGCCAACTCCTTAACTCAGTGATGTACATTTTTGATGTCCCAGATATTTGTTGTCCCAGCTATATGTTCCAACCTGTCCCACACTATGTCCCAAATGTCCTATCTGTCCCATCTACAGGGGGGTATAAAAAGTATTGGCCACCCTGGTTAATGTGATGCAAAAGTGGCGCGTGTCATTATACCTCTGCCGAATCAAGCCATAATTTCCATTTTTAATTGCGCGTGACTGTGTCT